ATCTGCTCTCTCTCTCTCTCTCTCTCTCTCTCTCTCTCTCTCTCTCTCTCTCATTCTGCTTGCATCACAACAGCAAAGACCCAACATCATGGATGCTCAGAAGTCACTTCGCCTCTCACACTTTTTATTTATGTGGTTTGAATGTCACATGTTCCCCATAGGCTCATGTGTCATGAGCAAGTTCTAGGCTAGCCTGGGCTACATGAGACCCTGTCTCAAAAAAACATGAAAACAAAATAAAAAGTCCTCAATCATTGTAGAAGGCCCAGTGGTCCTTGTGCTCACAGATAAGCCCTGGGAACTTAGAATGTTAAACATACAGAGTTGTTCCTTCAAAGGAGCAGACAGAACCTGTTATCTGCCCAGAAGGCTGAAGCAGACATGGTTAACCTTTACCCTATCTGTGTGGCTTAGACCGCACCAGATCCTCCCCAGATCCTTATCCTGGAGGTGGGGCCAGTGAGAGGGGGTAAGACACTAGGGTCATGCTTTTGAAGAATATCTGGGGACTCTGAGTTTTCCTCTTGTCTGCTTCCTGGTCACCATGAGATGAGCAGCTCTGTTCCATCTGCCTGAAGCCATACGTTCCTCACCGGGAGCCCATAGCAACAAGGCCAAACAAACCCTGGGCTCAAGTCTGATGCCTGGAGTACAGGCAAACCTTCTGCTTCCAGCTGGTGTTGCTGAGGTATTTTAACACAGTGACAGAACATGGTGCTGTAACATTTCTGAGGTAAGGAACGCAGCCCAGAAGAGAGCTGGCAGCCCAATTCCCTTCCAGCAGCTCTTGTCTTAGTTTAAGAAAGAGGCTGTGTCTTGTCCAGAGTTGTTGCCCAAGAGTTTGGTGACAGGAACTGAGCATCCAAGAGACATTGCTTTAGCTTCCTATGGCTCCAGCAACAGTGCCTGAGGTAAGTATTAGAGCAAAGGTGTACTTGGGCTCACAGTTCTGGAGGTTCCAACTTAAGGTCTCATTGTCTTGAGTCACTGGTAGGTTTGCCTGATGGTGGCACCAAGGAGCCTGTGATAGGCAAAACAGGTGTAGGACTAAGTGCAGGAGACAGGTCCCCATGGGCACATCTGCTGTGACCTAGGGACCTCCCTGAGACCTATTTTTTTTTTTCTGGAAAGTGAGTCAGGAGAGGGTGTGGCTCACTGATAGAGATCCCACTTAGAATGTTCCAAGGCCGGGTTCCCTCCCAACAGTCCAGACACGTTCACCTGAACAAAATCTGGAAAGAAATGAAATGTACACAGCCAGGGAATCCTTCATCCACTGTTGTTTTAGTGCCTGCAAAAGAATGCACTGAGCAGCAGACGTCCCACCTAAATGAGAGTTTAACACCCAAGCCTTCCCTCTTCCTCCTCCTCAGGGTTGGCTTGATCCAAAAGCCCATAAAACTCAGCCCATCTGTGCTTGGAGCTCTCAGAGAATTGGCTAACATGTCTCATTCCACCTCCTGCCACAAATTAAGACCAGTGGCTCTCGAATGTGAAAGAACACCACCAAAAAATTTAATCTTCATAAAGTTGAGACCATCCATATGCTAAAGAACAAAAGGGAGTTTGGTTCCTGGGCTCTCACATCCCTCCCTCTCCAAGGACCTTGGAGGCCTTCGGTGCACAGATCAGAAGTATCCATATCACCTTAGCAAGCCTGGGTAACAGGAGGGACTCAGAGACAGGGCACAGCGCAGCTGAAAGGAGTTCATCTGAGCACCACAATTATGCGCTCAAAAATCCTACTAGAGGGAAACGGAATGTATACAGTATGCTTGTATATCAAAGAAGTTTAAAAATAACATGCTCGCTCTACATTACTAATATGAAAATAGTTTCTGCTACTATTCAAAATGGTAGTAGGTATGTAATGTCTACTTTAAAATACATTTAAAGCTCACGTAGCTGTCCTTTTGGAAAAAGTGGGCAACAGCCAGGGATCATGGGGTGTGTGTTTTGTCAGGGCCAGGGGACCTGACGCACGCAGGAAGCTGGGCCATGGCGGGCAGTCCCTGGCATCAGCGCCCTGCCGGCCTATCGGCTGGCCCCAGCAGCAGCTTGTCCATGCTAGAGTTGGCACTGTCCGTGGACTTGTCCGGCTCGGGCACGCAGGTACAGCCCACTGGGATGGTGATGTAGTGTTCGGCGTACACAGAGCGGCCGCCCGCACAGGCCGCCGTGCGCCGCAGCACCACTGCTGGAGAGAAGACGGGTGTGCTGCGAAAGCGGAAGTCCTCCTCACCGTAGAGCCCGGTCAGGCAGCCTCGGCACAGGCAGTAGGCTTCGGGCAGGTACCTTGGAAAGCGAGCGGGGTCGTAGGAAATCCTGCAGACAGAGCGAGAGAGTGAGGGCCTCAGCAGGAGCATCATTGCAGAGTTCAAGGCCAGCTTGGATTACATAGCAGGCCTGGCCCAATGAGGAAGGCCTGAGAAGGCTGGACCTGATGACGCACCCCCGCACTTAGCATCCTGGTAGGATGTTATCTGGAACACAAGGCTGTGAGCCCCGACCCGGAAAAGATTGCTCTTCTAAGGCACATGACCTCAGATGCTGAAGGCGGCATGGACTACTAGGACACCGTGTCATGTCAGTTCTGAGGTGTCATCTCTGTGATTCCAACTTCCAAGCCTACCAGGCTCTGCAGATCCAGATGTGTTCCCTGCGGGAGGTAGGCAGGGACCAGTTCCTGCAGATAGTCATACCTGTGCAAAGGGCCATAAGGTGACCCTGTCCAGATGCATGCTCTCTAAGGAGCTAAAGCTACAGCAGGGGACAGAGAGATGCCTGGCCAGAGATATTTGAAAAGTGAAAATGATGGTTTAAATTCCATCACTTTGATTTTTTCCAACTCTTGCAAATTTCAACTCACATGCCAAATGTAAATACTTTCAGGTCAGCCTATGGCCAAATCCCAGGGGAGGCCACAGGTCAGCTACAACAGGTGGCTCACTTGGAGACAAAAGCAACCCCAGAACAAGAGCCTACTCTCACAGAAGCCACCTACACAGCCACAGAAACCCAGCGGGTCGTGAGGAGGAACCTAGGACCCTTCTTGAATGTCCCCTTGCAGAAGCAAGGGTTATCGCCACTGCTTGTGAGACTTCTGTGTGCCTAAATTCACATCCACTAATCTATCCATCTAGAACACAGGCAACCTCTTATGGGTCTTTTCTTTCCTGTGGGCAGAGTCTAGAGACCCTCATATCTATGGTCATGACCTTGACCTTTGCTAACATGTCCAGAGGCAGACACACCCTGAAGACCCACTATGTATCAGCAAGGGAAGCACCAAACAGTGGCCTCTGAATCTAGTGAAGAAAATGGAGATGGAGAGACGGAGAGGGACAGGCTTGGAGATCTTTCTGTTCTAGACCTGGGGATGTGGGGGAGGGGACACTGACCATGCCATTCCAGCAGAGTACAGTGCCTACCCAAGGACATGCTTTCTCTTTAAATACTAACGAGGGCACTTGCCGACAAAAAGACCTCCCTTTGAAAGTGCATTCAGAGTACACACGCCATGGTGGAACAGGTCTGCAGAAAGCAGGCACTGGAAATGGTGGTGCTGTTTGGGGGAGAGGTACCTGGTTCAGGAAGGCCTCCTGGACATAGAACCATTCAATTTTGTTTTCACACTGTTTCCAGGGACCAGAGAGAGTGACAGCCGATGACTAGGATGGAGGTAAATGCAGCTGGGTCTAAGCAAGCACTGATTTTGTGCATCTGTGCTTCCCTCCAGCACAGAGTATGCAAACATCTATTTCTAAAGGCTATTGCTAATGTTTGCTCAGTTCTACCAGCAGGAGTTTGGGAGCAGAATGGACCTGGTGAGTCCTTGCTGAGACCTATCTGTCTCCTGACGTTCCCTCTCACTGAACGTAAGAAGAAAAAGGAAGTCCTAAATAGCCGGGATGCATAAGATCTGCAATTATTTCCATCGTTTATCCAACTCATAGAACTCACCTCAGTCCTGTTCCAGGAATCCAGGCAGAACACCTATGCACCACCCAAAGGCGCGAGTGGAAGAGATGAGAGTGACTCAGAGCAAGAGGGTAGAAGAACATTTGGAGTAGAGGCCAAAGTCAGAGTTGGGCAGTGTGTCACAGAGGGAGAGTACAGGGTGGGAGGTGTCAGAGAGGAGAGTGAGGCTGTGTCAGGAACTTAAACCAGAGTCATGGATTTGGACTGGACCCTGACAGGTTTCCCTGAGTGATGTGACACCCCCCCCAACTTCCTGGTAGAAGCATGTCTGGGACAAAGAGGGAGTCTCGGTCAAGGATATGGTTTTAATGTCGGGATATGGTTTGTAGTTAGATATGGGAGTGTGTGGAGGGAGAATGGCAACAGCGGGAGGCACCAGCTTTTCAAAAGCATGAAGTCTGAGTACAGAGACTAGAGCTCCAGCCTGAGAAAGGCAGAGCCTAGAGATGGGGCTGCTCAAAAATTTCAATGAGGATGGAGCTAGTTCTTCAGACAGGCAGAGAAGACTTTCATTCTACTTGCTGGAGCTATAACATAATGCTAGAGACCGGGTGATTCATAAAGAATAGGACGTTTACTTGGGTATGGTGGCACATCGCAGCGCTGGGGAGGTAGAGGCAGGAAGATCACGAGTTCAAGGTCAGAGTGGACTACATCTTATGGCTTGGTTTCAACCACTCTAAAAGAGAGGTCTATTTAACATTTAGCTCAGTTGATTTTGGAGTCTTGGAAGCTCAAGAACACGGCATTCTTGAAGCAGTTCAAATGGCAAGACAAATAAATCCCTCCTGCTCAAATCCCATGCATTATGAAGCCATTCATGTCAATATAAAGTACTATGACCTAATCACTTCCCAAGAGCCCATCCCAAACATACCAGCAACACATGAACTTGAAGATTGAGATTCTTCTTTCTTTCATTCCTTTTTTCTTTTCTTTGTTTTTGTTTTCTTTTTGTTTTGTTTTTCAAGATAGATCTTCTCTGTGTAGCTGTGACGGTCCTGGAATTCACTCTGTAGATCAGCTTCCACCCAGTTTGTTTTGTTTTCATGAGACAAGATCTCATTATGCAGCCCTGGTCATACTGTAACTTGCTATGTAGACCAGGCTGGCCTCAAATTCAGAGAGATCACCAGGTATGCAGTGCCACATGCCTTTAATCCCAGTACTTAGGAGGCAGAGGCAGGTGGATCTCTACAGGTTCTAGGCCAGCCAGGGATACACAGAGAAACCTGTCTTGAAAAACAAACAAACAAAAAAGGAGATCTGTCTCTGTCTCTTGAGTACTAGGATTTGAGTTGTGTGCTACCACTCCTAAGCTTAAAATTACTTTTAAATGAAGAGCCAAAAAACCCAAAAATATTAAGTTATTAAATCTTCCTCATGGGAGAGCCAGGGAAATCTATTGCCTGACTGACTGCAGAAGGTATCTGAGTGGCTGAACTTACAGTTGGTATGTTGAGACACTGTGGTCTGTGTGGCAGTGCCCTTGACATTTGATAGTTTGTACAGCAATGGAGACTGGTGATGACTGGTGAGCTGGGCAAAGATGTGGGATCTGCTTCTAAGATCACACCGGACTGTGACTGTGATCAGGCAGGACCATGGACATCAGGCATTGGGGTCATAGCTAACTCCAGAGGAGGGTCTGGAAAATGCTACAGGGACCTGGAAGATGAAGTACAGGGCTTTGCTAAGCAGAGAGGCAGAGGAGGCTGCAGACAAAATGCAGCCACACACACCTGGACCAGAAAAGAGGTGACTGTTGCAAAAAGTCACATGGCTGGAGCGATGTGTATGAGGGTTAACATAGGGAGGGCATGGGGGTGTGTGTGCACGGGCGTGTATAGGAGAGAATGATTGTGTGTGAGCACGTATGTGTAAACAGAAGCATGGGAAGAGGTTGGGTGTGAGATATGAGCACATGCGTGTGTAGACATGTGAGGCTATGTGAGCATGTATGGTACACAGATGTACATATGGGCATGAGCATGAGCATGTTTGAATGTGTAAGCACGTGAGACTGAGAATAGATACGTGTATATGTTGAGTCTGTGAGTGAGACTGTGAGAACACATGTACTCATGTATGTGATGGCAGGCTAGGGAATTTGGTGGGCGGGACAGGGTGTATAACAGCCCTGGAGCCACAGCAGGGGACAGGAATTTAATCTCACAGCTCTCTGAATGGGGAAAGAAGACAGACCACCCAGCATCTAGAGAGACTCCTGGAGAACCCAAGGGACTTCTCAGAAGAACTACAGAGATGAGGCATTTCTCTTTGACATGTTTGCCCTGAGACCATCGTCTATCCAATTCAATTTCAACCAACATCCTGGGTGTCCTTTGGGAACAGCTAGCACTCAGGTGTCACTCTGGGTAGTTTCGTAGGTAAAACTATTCTTGCTTGGGTACCTGATAGCCAAAGGCTCATCCAACTAAAAATATTCATCCCAGTACATCAGTTGGTCCCCAAGCCAAAGCTCTTGCTTCTCCCTTGAACCCTTTGGACTAAGGCCAGTGACAAGATACTCCATGTGCCATCCTCATGTGTTTTCAAGATGTGTCTCCGACACCTAGATTGTTCCCTCACGCAGGAAGGTGTTCAACCTAGAGACCAGATGTGCCGTTCAGGGCAGTGGCTGTCACTCAGAGGGACCAGCACCACAGAAGGGGGAGTAGCCCCTGAGCTGGCAAACACCCAGCTTCCTGCCAAATTGAGAGAAATCACCAGCTCTGTGGGAAAGAACGAGGCCTCCCAGAAAGGGGACCCTTTCTCTTCCCAAATGTGGAAATACAGCCCAGTAGAAACCACCTGGCCTCTGAGGCCAGTCTCCTGTCCTCTCTGAATCTGCTCTGTGCAACCTTAGCCTAGGTCTTGGTTGAAACACATCAAGTTTTCCCCAATGACGAATCAGTGGCGTGGCCCTGGCCCTGTGTGAAGTTTGGCTCTGGTGAGTGACAGCTGGTGGGGCTTAATCCAAGAACAAAGGACAAGTCCTCCAGAGATGATTAGAGGTGATGGAAGCTGAGCTCTTGGAGGAATTTAAGTGACAGCAGAGACAGAAAAAGAGCGATGCCCCTGGGGCCTGGGCATGGTAGGAAACAATTCTAAGCGGTCTGGAGGCGGAACTCAGAGAACAATGAACACATTCCCGGGAGGAATCTGCCACCTGATGTGTGCTTGTGAGGGCCCAGTGCAGCCAGGCAGCCACTGGCACAGTCTCCTACTTCTCAAAACATTTCCATTTCGAAGCAGCGGAGTCCTAGTAAGACTGATCCTCTCTGGGCAACCCAAAGATCCCCATTCCCAGGCACCAAGCTAGGGGTCCTGACCAGAAGTTG